CTTCTTGGTTGCGCAGTGGCGCAGCCGGAGGATTTGGAGTAGCCTGCTCGAGCATGTGCTGAGTCACCAGGAGGTTCGGCGCTTGGATCCAGCACAGAAGCTTTCGCGCTTGTACGGGTACAGCGAAGAAGACCATTTCAAGGACTGCGAAGACTCGGCTCGTGCCGAAGCGGTCTATAGGCAAGCTTTGCGAGATCAGACCTCAGCTGTGGCCGGTCAACGCAGGCTTCCAAGTGCTTCGTATCAGGTGGTGCATTGGCTGAAAGGCCATTTGGCAACAGGAGTGTTTTTCAGCATATCCACAGCTGTCTTCGAACAAATTGTGGACGGCCGTGAGAGAATTGACGTGGAGCCAGCTGCATCCTTCAGCACAGACGTGCTGTTGTCTGCTATGCACGCAGACTATCACCCTGTGGTACGCAATCCAGGTTCTGTTTTCTGCTCGGTTCTGGATTCCAGGCCAGAAGCAAGAACGGATATTCGAATTTCTCACCCTGCTGCACACATCAAGGACCCGAGGCTAGGCCGCCGGAGCTGTGTAGTTGTGCAGCGTTTCCACGATGTGGATGTTTCTGAGGGAGGTCACGATGTCCGTGTGGCCTGCACGAATGTCCGGGTCGAGGTTCTTGACTTGGCACGTCTTTGCAGTGCGGAGCACTTGAAAGCTTTCTGTGCGAACTGTTTGCTCTGGCGTGCCATGCCAGTGGCACTCGCTTTGACTGTGGGAGACGATTCCACGGTGCGTGGTTTGCTGGAGGAGCCTGAAATGTTAAAACTTCCAAACTTCGTCTTCGACAGCGATCCTTTGGAGATATTGAAGGACCCGGCGCAAGAAGCTGTTCAAGTCCTGCACCCCCCTGCCACACAGAAGGCTGAAGAATCTCTTGTGCTGCAGGTGCATGGGGCTCCTTGTAGCAAGCAAGAAATGCAAGCTATGAGCCAGTTGCTGCGAGCAAGGGCAATCGGCATAGAAGCTGCTGTGTATGCCACAGACCTCGAGCACTATGATGCTGCTGCTTTAGAGATGTTGCGAGAGAGAGGTCTTGTCATCTGCCAGACGGATATGTTTTCAGATGTCTTGGTTGCCCTGACTGGAAAGTTAACGTACAGTTCCACTTTGGCCCTAGGACAGCCCAAGTTGCTTTGGGAGCTTGACCAGACAACTTTGACTCGAGGCCAGATGCCAGGCCGATCAAAGCTGGAACTCGTTCGTCTCTTGTTTGTCTTGGGCTGGGAGCCAGGGCTAGGCAAACAAGAGTGGCATGTCAAGGAGGGAGAGAAGCATCTTCCGGATGACATTCTAACTTGCACTATCCCCTTCCTGAGAGCCTTGCTTCTGAGCAGACTCATCTGGGAAAAGCCTGGGCACCTGGAGGGCATTTACCTCAAAGGTCCACAGCTGTACTATGAGTTTTTGGTAGACGAAGATGACCTCAGCAGCTTGCAGGATGCATCTGCCCAAGACATCCTCAGTCGCTTTGCGCCAACTCGAAAACGACCTGCTAGCCGACCCCAGCCAAGGGATCCGGGTGCAGGCGTAGAGGTTGACCCAGAAGCTGAGGATGAGGAGCAAGAGGAGCTGCTGCAACAGCTGCCTGAAAAGGTCATGCAATCGGAAGAGCCACAGCCAAGCATGGCCAGTCATGAGAGACGTGTCCCACCGCTAGAAATTGATCTTGGAGGGGGTAGGACACAAGTGGTGCATTTTGATAACTTTACACACGCCAGCGGTCAACTCCGAGGGTTTGTCGCTTGCGAGAAGCATAACAGCTGTCGCTTGTACAGCTTCGTAAAGAATCATGGTAGCCGCCGGCGGACTGCCGCCTATTTGATTGCTTGGCAAATGAGAGCAGCTCATCACCGGACTGCTCAGTCTCACATTTCAGATAAACCAAGCACAGAGCAGGTGGATGCTGTCATGCTCCGGATTGCTGTTTGAGAAAATGTGAAAATGCGACAGAGAAGTTTTCGTTTCTTTGTTTGGCTGCAGATGTTGTTGTTTTGTGTTGAAAAAATTTAAGCCATTTAAGCCGTGTCCCTGTGCATGCTCCTTTGAGAACCATGGTTTCCTCGCAGGCTTTTGGGGGCCTCAAGAGGGGCGGGGGCTTTTTCAAGGCGATGCAGTGGAAGTACGCCTTCTACGGAAGGCCAGGATGTGTGCAGGGACGGGGCCTCTCTGAAGCCTAAAATAAAATAATAGCTGAGGCATCACCGTGTGCTAACCTGGGCTCCAGGCTGCGTTTCTAACGCTAACCTGGATGCGTGGGCTGCACCGTGCTACCCTGAGGCTCTGGCTGCGGCGTTCTGCTGCTAACCAGAGCTGCAGGAAGCAAACCGTGCTACCCTTAGGCTCTGGCTGCGGCTTCCTGCTGCTAACCAGAGCTGAAGGATGCAAAACAAAGCTGCTCGTAACCTGGTAGTCCTGTAACTGTAGCTAAACTTAGCAGTGTCAAGTTGCACTTGTTGCCTGGAAGAACTTACAAATATAATCTCAAACCTCAAACAAATAAATAACCCCTGACCGCCCTGACCGCAGGTGGATGCCCGCGCCGCTCTACTACAACCACGGTGCTCCCGCACCGCCCGGAAACTTTGCAGCTCCTCCGGTTCCGCCTCCTGCCGTGGAAGAAGAAGGAGCTGCCTTCATGGGTCCGCCGGCGACTGTGCCAACTGTGCCAGCTGCTAACCCTGGCCGTCCTGGGGCCAGGGCTGCAGAGGCAGATCGGGACGGGGACGTGGTCATGACAGAGAAGCTCACGAAGCCGGAGGGCAAGGTGAAGCCCAGTCACCCAGTGGACCTCAGCAGCAGCTCGGACTCCTATGACTCCGAGGAGGCTGAAAAAAAGCCACC